TAAATCCGTATCTGAAAATCTGTTGACAAAAACTGTAAACGTGAAATGTGTGTACAGCAGACAAAAGACTGATACACACTGTCCGATCATAGCCATATGGGTAAGGTACAGAGCGAGCCTCCGTTGATCTCAAACATTTTATGGTGACGGAGGGGTGAAACGTTTACTTTGTTAGAATTATTATTATTTTCAAATATTTGGAGAAACATTATGTTAGGTAAAAATAGATATTATGTGAGTAAAAATAGTGAACATATAGTTTTTCTGAAATAATATATAAACTGATGTATGGTTATAAGGAAAATATTATTTATTAGATAATTTTTAATTCAGATTTCTTATTCTATGTAAAATAAAACGTGAAGTATCAAGATCTAAATCTAAATATGATAGCATGGTAAGAACATTCAACGTCCAATCCATTTCCAATTTTTCCCTAATACGTTCAGAATCAAAAACCACTATTCTCCTGAGGCCGTACACAAACTGCATTATGACGTAGTATTGGGTATGTCTACGTATTCTAACAGCTGATCGCATCAACTCATGAAACGATAACTGAATCTATAATAAATTAACTGATATTAGTAAATCCAATCATATTAACCTCAATATTTTATTTAAAATTACTATAGCCTCATCTTGCGGAATTGAAGAATCATAATGATTATCATGCAACAGCATAACCAATACTCGAAATTCAATATTGAATTGTCGAGCAAAAGTTCTCGCTTGTACATACCAAGCCCACACCCTCTCACCAGATCCACGAGTACGTTCAAATTCTTGATATAACCACCTCAAGTATATAATTGTGTCAGGGTTAGCTTCCCGAACGACTGGTGACTCAATTATCTCACTGAATAAAAAAAAATATATTTATATATAGCAAAATAATTAAAAATTACTAACACTTACGCATTTTGTAAAATTCGTCTGTTAGGTGAAATGACTTCTTCGAGAATTACACGACACATAATTATTTTATAAAATATAAAAAGGACCAAATAACACAAATGTACGTTAAAAACACGACTAATCTAACATCTGGGTTTATAAGATATTTCACGAATACGAAAAACAAGTTTACAATGATATAACATACAATAATATGGTGTGTGTACAATAATATGGTATCATAATATGACTGTTAGATAAGAGACTGATAACTCTGT